ATAAACATCCAGCAAGCATCGGCTCTTGTACGTCCAACGCACTGTGGGGTTGCCGAGCCAGTCCAGGACGGGAACGCCTCGAAATGCTGTCCTGAGCGGCGTAAGCCAGCCGGGCACATCAATATTCGCCTGACCAAGCCTTTCTGGGAAGTTGCCATCCTTGTCACGCATGGAATCCACAAAGCCCGCACATTCTTCATCGGACAGGATACCCTCCAACAGGAGGACCGGTGGATCTTCGCTCATCAGCCGAAGTCCCTCTGCCTGCAGGTTCACCTCCGGAAACACTCGCTTGGCCTCCTGCAGCCTTTCGGGTGGCAGATCTTTGGCATAGCTCCCCTCCACTTCGGTGAGTGAGTCCAAGGGAAGCTCCACCTCGCTTACAGCTCGGAATCGTGCCTTGCTGTGTCCATGTCGGGCGGCCGCTGCTGCTACAAGTCCGGTAAAACCCAAGCTCCTCTGGAAGAGCTTACCACGGGGTCTTTTCGTTGAGCCCTCCAGTCCCACACAGGGCCAGAAGGCAGGAGTTACACTGGCCTGCGGCACAGCGAGTCCTAGCGCGTGCGGCACGGGCTCCATTGCATGTGTTGACTTGAGCCCCTGAGCCAACGCAGGGTTGCAAAAGGCTTGCGTTCACACTGGCTGCGCTGGCGCTAGGCTGAAAAGACTCAGACATGGAAGCTTCAAAACCCCTGCCCTCTAGAATACATCAAGGGACGGTGAGGCAGGCATTCTGCAGACGCCCTTGGGCCAGGCCGAGCATGGCTAACCACCAATGGTTTGACGATAGGCTTTCCGGCGGCTTTCCGGTGTGGGGGTGCTGCGTGGCAACTGTTCTGCATGGTGTTAGTTAGCTTGCTGTCCAGAGAACAACTGTTTTCTCAGATCTATGATGTAATGTGTCACTGACGACTTCGGTCAGCTGCATACAGCCCAGATGGCTGTCACACGGCTACGGCGAATAACGATAGGCGTTCGGCCTGGTCAGTAGCAAGCATGCATCGGCGGAGTGGACATATCAGACCAATTTTTTGGTCACCCGCCGATCTGTCTCATTGACGGACAGTGCTGCGAGTTTGTGGTCCGGTGCGCGGCAACATGGACAGAGAAGAAGTCACATCTTTAAGTCTTTCTCGCTCTTAAACCAACATGAATCACCTTCATCGCAGCAGATGCTGTTCACGTTGGTGGCCTGTCAGGCTTCGCAGCGCAGGAAGCATGCCATGTAATTAGTTGCGGCGTGCTGCAGCATTCGGCTTTACCGATCCTTCTTTGCGTTTTCTGAAACAGCGGGCTTCGGCACACTACTGCGCTCGGAATCTGCACACCTGCGAGGCAAAGCTTTACTGCGCCAGGCTTGACCAGCTAGTACAAGGCACGAAGTCCCCTCGAACACCGGATTCTACGCACACCGAACATGCGCTGCAGCTTGTTTTATGCTGATGGAAGCAGGAGGCTGCAAAGGTCAGTCGGCATTGAACTCAAAATTGTCATCATACTCCCAATTATCCGCGGCCGGCCAGTTGTAGAAAATAATCCACTTCTCACCCTGCATGACACGGTCACCTGCATGTTTGAGGGGAGGTTGGTTAGGCCAAATCAAGGCACTCCCTTTCGAGGGCTTGACTTTTATTCCCAAGGTTGGGAACAGGGTATGGCCACCATCGGCTACGTCGTTCAGGTACGTCATCAACGTTGCGCGATTGTAGTCAATGTGCACAGGCAGCCACTGCTCCTTGCGATAGTGCTTGATGTTGGCCTGACCATAGCTCACATCGAGGCCACACCGGTCACGCACCTTCTGCAAATAAACATCCAGCAAGCATCGGCTCT